CCCCCCCGGCGTGGCCAGGTTGAGAGAATGAAAAGAGGTTCGATCATCTAGTTGCATCACAGCTAACCGCCCCTCTGTGATGGAAGTCCTGGAGATGGTGATCCACTACCCAACGAATTTTTCGAAGCGAAGTTCAGTCATAGAAGTCAAAAATATCCAGGCATTGAATCAAAGCTCTATTATGCAGATCCAAGCGTCGAATGCCAAGGCCGGCCCCCCATATACTTTGGCAGACAAACCGTGTCCCAATTCACAAGGCTCTGTCCTCCCTATGGTCGCCTGCAAACTCTTAAGATAAGTACTTATCACTCTCCGCTACAATGGTCTACAATGAATTGGCACTGCATCTATCCCGAACCTGGCAGTAATCGCTACTTTCGGCTGCCCGACATGGTCTTTTAATAATACATATCTTGTCCAGCTGTTAATGAATTTTGAGCTTGTTCCTTAGCTCTCTTCTTGAGCACGGGCTTACTCACAGGAAGCTGGACTAGCAGATGACTCTTAGTTAGACTGGTACTAGTTAGGATCTCACGGTCGATGTAATTGAGTTCTTCAGTTCTTAATCCATACAAGTTATATTGGGCAGCTATGGAGTCTGGGTTTCCAAATGCAGAGGATTGGGTTAAGGAATTGAACCTTTCTCTCGAGGTGATCTCGAACATCATATACGCTAATATAAGAGCACCAACAGAAGACCTATGGAGGCATATTCCTTTGGTCTTCTTAAGGTTGACCTTATGGGGAATATTAGAATCTCTTACCCGAAAGTAGAAAATTCAGGATGTCTCCTCAGGATAGCTAGTAAGGAAAGCAGACAACGAAGGCTATTATCCGTCGTTCGGTCTAATTTCCTAAGGAATGGTCGAACCGGTGTATTCCAGATCATGATATGGGCTAGCAGGTGTGTTCTAAATAATAGAAGGAAAAGAAAACCCAACTTTAGAAGCGAAGTCCCGATCGCAAATAGCATCTTTTTCAAACCACGTTTGAGACAGCAGGCGGAGGATGTGATGAGTCGACATTTGAGAGAGAAATCGCTTTTTTGCTAAAAAATCCTTTAGGGCTGGGGGTGGAGGTTTGATCAGGAATGGCTCTGGTCAGCGGCTGGTGGGTTTCAAGATGCATTTTGGAATCTGCTCTAACATTAGTGCAGAATTGCAGGCACGGAGTTTTGGGATCTTTCTCGCCTGGGAAGAAGGCTTTAGGGATATCCTTTGTGAATTGGATGCTAAGGTGTGCTTGGATCTTACCCGAGCTGCTGATATAAGAGTTCATCCTCTTGGGAGCGTGATTGCTGACATAAGGGAGCTCTTGCAAAGAAACTGGCGCTGCAAAATGCAAAAATCACAGAATCAAAATTACAGACATTTAAACAAAGAGTGACGAACCCAAAGCAACAACTTACAATTTTCATAGATTAACCCAATTTACAAATAGAACTAAATTATTCTACGTAACAGTGAAAGACCCATGTTTCTGTACCTGTGAACTCGCCAAAATTCAGTCGGCTTCCACCACAGATTTCTTGAAGTTGGGCGTCGACTTTACTGCTGCAATTTCTTGAAGTCGGGCGATTTGAAGTCGATCTGTGGTTTTAATCTGAAGTTGGGCTATTTGAAGTCAGGTGAAATCGATCCGTGTTTTCAGATCTGTATTTTTAATCTGAAGTCAACTTGTAGTTTTACAGCCTGTTTTATTTTTTTATTTTATTTGAAAAAGTAACCATGGTATGGTTTATATTTAGTTGTCAATAAATAAAAAAAAAGCTGAAATCCATTTAGCCCAAATTCGACCGAAAAGAAAAAGAGAAACATGAAAAGTGGTTGGGTTCTACCTGACTGTCTTTAATTGGAGCACAATAAAAGCTGGTAGCGTCGGTTAAACTGCAGAAAATGTGTTTTGTTGGTGTATATGAAATTCTTTCTAGTTGATTTTTCCTTCTCGATATAAAAGATAAGCTTCATCTCCTCTGTTTTTTATATTTGTTTGTACAAATAAAAAGTGGTGGCAATTATAATTTATTAAAGTTTGATTTATTATTTTCTGTTTTAAAACTTCTTTTTTTAATTACTCTCTTTTTTTAATTTTTAATTACTTAAAGAGCGGTTACACTTTTAAAAAAAGAAACTTTTTTTTTTCCTCTGTTT